GCGGGGCGGCGCCGGCTGCGCCGTCTCGCATGGCTCGGGCGACGTGTGGTGCTCCCAGCCCAGCAATGCTGCAGGCACACTCGCACGCTTGCTCGCTCGTTTGCTCACACCCCCTGCGAGCAACACAGCCCTGGCGCGACGGGCGGCAGCCGGCCCCCACCCAGCCACCCGCGCTGTGCAGGGATGGACGGAGGGTGGGATGGATGGATGGATGGAGGGATGGACAGAGTGGGATGGACGGAGGGCGGGCAGCTACACGCCCTGGCTGGGCTGGCGGGCTGAGGCTCCAGCTGCTGGCAGGGATCAGCATGCCCAGCCCACCACCCCAAGCCAACCCTCGCCGCCTGCGGTGTCACTCTGCCTGGACTTTCCCTTTTTTCTTTCTTTCTTCTTTTTTTTTTTTTTCCTTCTTTTAATCCGCCCCCTTCTTCCTCCATCACCCCGGGCAGCATCCCACCCTCCCCGCTTCCTCCTCTCCCTCCTCCCGGCCCCTTCCTTCCTTCCTCCGCTCGCTCTCCACAGGGCACCGCGCGATGCCAGGGACAGGGAGGCGGACGGCCTGAGGGTGCGGCAAGCATCCCCCCTGCTCGGTCAGGAGATGAGCCATCACCAGGCTCTGCAAGGTGGGAGCCAGTGGGGGCTCCGAGACACCCCTGGTCCCCTCTCTGTCCTCAGCACCCAGCAGAGTCCACGCAGCAGAGGCATGCGACAAAGCCCCCCGACCCCCCTGCTCAGTGCCTGTGGCAAAAGACGGTGGCTCCAAGGACACTTCCCACCAGGAGCCAAACCAAGAGTCCCCCCAGCCCCATCTCCCATTTCGGGGGATATCCAGGGCTGCAGGTGCGGCGGGTCCCTGTTGTCCCCCAGGCACAGAGCCACCGGCCCCCACAGTTCAATCCTGGCTCCCCAGCGTTAAGCCCACAGGCAGGGACAACAAACCGCCCTCGTCACTGGTGCCCGGGGACTCCCGCTGCTTCAGCCCCTCCCCAGCCCACCCTGCACCCCCTTTGTGCCCACCGAGCCGCTCTCCACTGCGGCGGCCAAAACATGGGAGCAATAAGAAAAACAGCAGCACCTTGATGAGCCCGGCACCCACGGACACCCGACCCGGGCAGGGGCTGTGGGTGGGCAGCGTCCCCCTGCCCTGCCTCCCCCCACGCTGCCTGTCCCCATCCCCGCATGAGGGGGTCCCGCACCGAAACCTGCCATGCTAGAGGCTGAGGAGAGGCACGTGCAGCCGCGCCGGGGAAATGCCGGGCATTGCTGGGATTGCAGCCCGCAGCCTCAGGGCCGGCCGCCCCGCTCGCTGTGGCCCCCTCCTCTCCTCTGCCCCCCCTCCACCCCATCAGCAGGACCAGCCCACCAGTACGATGCCATGCACCCGCTTCCCGCAGCCACCAGCCAGGGCTGGCACCGGACGCCAGAGAGGGGACAGTCCCCAGGGTGCAATGCCACACGGACTCCCTGCATGTTGGCAGTGCTTTGGCATTCAGCACGTCCCCAGTGTCTATCCTGGCCAAGGTGCCACGGCTCTGCCCCAAAACAGCCCCAGCGCCTGCTCCAAGCCTGGCTCGAATGCTGGGTGCCAGCCGTGTCCCCAGGGACCCAGCTGCACACCCCCAGCACACCCAATAACACTGTCCCGGTGCCTCTGCACCGGCAGCCCAGGCAGAAATTGGGATGGGGAAACGTGGGAGCCAAATTCCTACCACCGCCTTCCTCCCCTGGCCACCCCCCGGGCCACCCCAATGTCACCCGATGCGTACGCTGGGGGTCCCCCGGCACACCCCCAGCACACCCAATAACACTGTCCCGGTGCCTCTGCACCGGCAGCCCAGGCAGAAATTGGGATGGGGAAACGTGGGAGCCAAATTCCTACCACCGCCTTCCTCCCCTGGCCACCCCCCGGGCCACCCCAATGTCACCCGATGCGTACGCTGGGGGTCCCCCGTGGGAGC